AAAAAAAAAAAAAAAAAAAAAAAAAAAAAAAAAAGAAAAAGAAAGTGAAAAGAAATATGTACTAATCCCTAGTGAAATACAACTTTTTCCTTTTTATAGAAATTTCCTTTTCACACTGAGTTGAATACATTTTCATTTCTCGTATAAAGAATTTCCTACAAAGTTTAGCAGCTGGTCTTATTTGATATTTGCACAAACTCCCAAAGGATGGCAGATGGTATATGACAAATAGTATTGAGCATTTTTTAAGCACTTCCTAGATGCCAGACACTGTGCTAAGAGCTTCATATATTCCACTTCTAGTTCTCAGAAGGACTCTCTGACATAGGCAATATTATCTACCTTTTATAGATGAGGAATCCAAGCTTAGAGTTTAGGTAACTTGGACAAAGCCACACAACTGGCAGGTGGCAGAGCCAGGATTCCCTTTCTGCAGTGCAAGTCTGCAGGATGCTCTTAAAGTTTCCCTTGGCCATGGCTGACTGGCATCAGAATTTCCAGAACCAGACTCTAAAAAAGGAGCAGGTACCAGTATGGTTAAGCTTTTCTCTCCAGGAGCACTCATTAGGGCAGTTGTCAGGAGAGAGTCTTTGGTCCAAGACATTTAAATCTGTATTAATATGAACAGGAAACCAAGAGAATGGGAAGTTGGAATTGCTGGAGTTGTTGGTGCTTCAGAAAATGACTGGATTGTGAGGTTCTAATCACGCTGCCCATTTTACCAGTGGTTTGGGTCAGAGGTGGAGACTTAGAGATATTGGTTCTCTGTGCAAATCCCCACATTATTCACTATGAGGCATTAACAGCAGCTGTTAAATTTGAAGTATTAACAGAGAGATGTAACAAATTCATTTATTATTGTTCATGAGCCTCAAAGTGGAGACGGAACGGGACCTGAAACAGCCAAGATTTTATAATGGAGAAAGCCTGGTGTGACCTCAGTAGGAGACAGGAGGATCACATTGGAAGCAAGAGGACTCTGGAATAAAATGAGATAAAATCTGATTCTGAGAAAGAGCCCAAGTTGTTCTCTGGTTTAAGTTTTAGAAGCTAGTTAGGAATTTTATTGGTTGATTTTTATATTCAGTATCATCCCTAGGGATATATTTGGAAATAAAGCTCTGGAACACATTGAAATAGAAAATAATCTACCATCCAAAAGTCAGTCAGTTGGAGTTGCTAATATCTCTCAAGGCCAAAATTGAAGTGCATTTTTGAAAGTTTAAGGTTAATATTTGCCCAATCTCTGTATCCAAGTTCAGGGAAGCAGAGTTGATCCACAATAGAACAAACAATTAGACGCTTCCTCTTCTACCAATTTCTTACTTGATAGTTACTCTAATAACTTGACTTTGAACTATCCTTGTGTTCAATAGATAATGTTCAGAAGATTTTCAAAAGTATATTTTACAGTAGTCAAATATACGACAATCCTGTCATACACATATTTGAACATATATGTTTATTACATCAATATCTGGATAAAATTTTTTTTATAAAACTTTCCTGCTAGTCCTAATATTCCCTGCTTTTTCTAAAGTAAACAAGATTTACTGTAATCTGAGGCCTCCTGGGTCTTAAGCCTAAATTGGCTCTGACCTAATGTTTGGTTATTTGGGAAAGAAATTAAGATTTAGGCAGCTCAGTTTTTTCATTTATTAATCATTCCCTCCTCTGGAGCCTACGCCCTGGATCAATTCATGTCTGTTTCTGAGAAATCTGAATAAGTCTCCTGCTCTGGCAAATAGAAATGACTCTGTAATGAGAATCTACTTGCCTAAATTCTGTAAACCTGTGATCTCATCTGCCTTTTAAACATTTTAAGATAAGATTTTTAGAGTTAATTTTCTTCTAAAGATTTACTGACATACGGATTACAAGTATGACAGTTATATCCAGTCAGCCAAACAACCCGAAAGATCAGCCAATGTTAACCTTCAATCTAACAATCAGGAAGCCAAACTTCTTGCCATAAATGTGTGTAATTATAGACACACCAATAGATGAACTGACCTTAGCTGGCGGGGAAAATGGTAAAGCTAAAACATCTCTGAGAATGGTTTTTGTCATTCATACATTCAAGTTGCTGGAATTAAAACTTGCTTTATAAATAGTCTTTGGCAAATTAATAACATCACAAAAGATGAGGCAGACATTACATTTGCTTTCTTTAAAAAGTCAAGGTCTACTCAAGCTTGCATGCTTAATTATTTCCTTGACAAAGACATTTGTACTAAGAATTATATTTCCAGATAAACACTAAATTAAGTATTTTTTAGGTAGACAACAAAATATCAAAAAATTTAAAGCAAGAAAATATTTTAGGCCATCTTGACCTCAGATACAAATATAAATTACATCTATATGACATGTATCAGATATATAGTAGTTTACATATATGACTGTCATATATAAGATATATGTTTATACTAGTTATATATATGACATATATAAGATATATCATTATCTGGTATGATATATCAGATCAATGGTCAATATGCCCACTGCATAGTAGAGAATTTGACTTTGGCTTTTTCATTATTTGACCCTCTCTGTACTCCCTACACAAGGTATAACCTCATGTTGCCCATTTCCTCTCCATCCCAAACTTTCCAGTGGGCCTTGTACCTAAGCATCAGGAAAAGTCTTTATGTGGAAGCATGTAAAAAACCTAGGGAAGGTTATAGCTATAAGTGCCTATATTTAAAAAGAAAATGGATTAAGAGAATGAAAAGACAAGCCACAGACTGGGAGAAAATATTTGCAAAAGGACACATTTGACAAAGGACTGTTATCCAAAATTTACAAGGAACTCTTAAAACTCAACAGTAAGAAGACAACCGAATTGAAAAATGGGCCAAAGACCATAACAGACACCTCGCCAAAAAGATGTAAGTATATGAGAAGATGCTCCACATCATATGCCATCAGAGAAATGTAAATTAAAACAACAATGAGATACCACCACACAACTATTAGAACAGCCAAAACCAGAACACTGACGACACCAAATGCTAGAAAGGATGTGGAACAATAAAAGAAACTCTCGTTCATTGCTGATGAGAATGTAAAATGGTACCGCCACTTTGGAAGACAGTTTTGTACTTTCTTACAAAACTATATACACTGTTATGATACAATCTGACCATCATTCTCCGTGGTATCTACCCAAAATAGTTAAAATCTTATGTCCACACAAAAACCTGCACATAGATGTTTTAGCAGCTTTATTCACAATTGCCAAAACCTGGGAGCAACCAAGACGTCCTTCAGTAGGTGAATGGACAAATAAAGTGTGGTGCATCCAGACAATGGAATATCATTCAGCAGTAAACGGAAATGAGCTATCAAGCCATGGAAAGACACAGAGGAAACATAAATGCATATTACTAAGTGAAAGAAGACCATCTGAAAAGGCTACATACTGTACTGTATGATTCTAACTATATGACATTCAGGAAAAGGCAAAACTATAGAGATAATAAAAAGACCACTGCTTCCCAAGGGTGGGGAGGAAGGATGAATAGAC